TTAATTTGAAAGCTGCAAATGCCCGCCCCCACTGTGGGGCCATTAGGTACAAACAAAACCTCACCATGGAAATAAAAGTTGGAACAAGTGCCCCAGTATCAAAGCAAAAGTTACATTTACGTCACCTTGTAAAAAGTTGAAAATTGTTACTGTCAAACTCCGAAAACAGTGAACAACTGAAAATTTTCAGGAATGTTGATTGTGTACTGACCAAACACAATTAAGTTCAGGAATATGCAAGCAAAACTCTAAACCACAAACTAATTTAAATTACCATTGCTGTTTGTGTGTAAGTTATCTCTCGCCTTATTACCTTATTCTCGTAACAAAATAATATTCCATAAATATTTCTGGTGACAAAATAATATTCCATAAATATTTCTGGTGTTCATGGTTTTGTGAGTTTCACAGTAAACATACTTAACAACTTAACTCAGCAACCTTACAGTTTTCCTGATATCCATACAGACCCCAAAGACACCGCAAAGAGGACAACTTTACAACCCAAAATTACTTTATAAGATAAACTTTCCATGGTAGACTTGGCAAACAGCGTGGCATATACAGAGTGCATACATAAGTACAAGCTTAGATGGTACCCCTTAAGGGGGTAAGGTTAATTAAACAATGAAAAATTTCTTACCCAAACGACGCTTTTGTCAATGAAAAATGCCCACTATAGGAGCAAAATGCCAGAAAAACTCCCAGGGAGAATGGGTATGCTTGGAATTGACTGAGCATTAGGATAAATGAAATAATTATATTTACATGTACAACTACACCGCATTTGAATTGAGATAAAATCTTTCCAACACAGCGTAGAAGTACAACACAATAAAAGAAAGGATGATATTCTGGAATCGAAAAAATGCAACTTTTCAAAAACACAATGAGTCGGATTTTGAATTGCTGTTAAAACTCGTTGTAGTACGTGCTGGCTGTTTTGTTAGCTTTTTCAAAATGTTTTGTTGACGTTGTCAAGCATTATCAGAAATTATTACTGCTCAGGGTTCAGTATGAAAGCCACTGTAAATAATTAAAAGCAAAATAAAGAAACGACACCAACTAATTAACCTGCACCGAAATAATTCTTTCACAACACACTCCTCAGAAGACTCGATCTACAGTACTCAGTGACAGCAGTATTAAAAAACAATTTTCGGTTAATGTTATTGAATTATGATAGCATCGTGTTCGCGTCCCCCGAGCTTTCTCGACCAGTGGAGAAAAAAAATGAGCTTACACAGGAAATGTTTAAGTTTGTTTCCCCTTGTGACATCAATTTACACGGTTGAGAAAAACATGAGGTTAATTGTCCTGTACGACTAGGCACATTTTACAATTAAAGAATTTGAATTCATTACTCATCCTTTTTACCTCCAGTATCTCGTTCGCGCTTTTCGAAATGGTTTCATCCGAAAACTACCAATACACACTGAAAAAAAACCAACCCTTGACTAACAATAAGACTAAGAAAAGACGAATCGTTTTGAAAAGCTAACGGCTACGCGCCAAAAAACCGAGAAGCGATTTTAATGGCATTTAGTGACATGCAGATAAGTAAGACAAGGGAATTAAAAATAACATGCATGCATAATAGTAGACAATATATTCAGTATATTCAAAGAAACCTTACCTTTTGCATAAACATGAATCTCATGAATCGTCCTAACCGCCATTGAACCGTACTGCGTGGAAAGACCGCCAAATTTCGAGTGATGCCAGTTATCCAATGGCAGAGCGTAGCCTGATTTCTAATTTGTAACAACGGTGCCCACGTGCAGATTTTTTGATCAGCGGTAAATAAATCATCAGCGCGCGACTCCGCGCGCACAATTCGCGCACAAAGAAAATTTCTAGCAAATTAGAGGGATAAAATACCTCCAGCAAGAATTTTTGATACATTTGATAAATTCTTGACCGTACATTTAAGACTTTACTTCCCAGGAGAACAGCCGAAACCTCAGTTCCCAGCCAGCAAAATTTTCTCTGTAGAACAGATATTGTGAGGAACAGATCCGTTGGGTGTCCCTGCTAGGAGCTATTTGCGTGGGTGTTTGGCGCGTTTGATAAGATTACACTGAGATTTGCTATGAATATGACATTTGCAGCTTAAATAGATAGTGGAAAATGCTATTTTGGTTTTGTCTAGGGATGGGGCATTTCGCACACTTCTATTAAGTCCCCCCACC